CTAGGCAGTCACTAGATAGGCGCATTGACTCATGTACTAGTCCAGCATCAGCGGGTCTGGCTGAAGAAGGTGGTAAAAACGTACGTCGAGTCTCCGAGCATATCTCCGCATCCAAGACGAGCGCGCGGTCGCTCGCATGGGCTCGCGTGCAGGTCGGACAAGCTTCGTTCGCTCGCGTCAAGGGAAAGCCACATAGTTTCTCATCGAGAGATATTTACAGTCGTGCCGACAACGGCGAGTATGATGATGGTGAGAGCCAAGATCAAGTTTCAACGTTCAACGTGACGCGTTAGTACGTCCAACGCTTTTTGGGAACGCCGCACCAAGGTCACCAAGGTCCTACGTGGAAACTGACCTTGACTGCCAGTATCGCGCTCAAGGGCCTGGGGCTGGGTTTATTGTATCGAGGCGGCGGGTTCCGCGGCGGGTACGCCGCTCTCAATCTGAGCTTATCATCGAGGCTTCAATGTTGGCCCTTCAATAGAACCCAAGTAGACCGCATCAAAGCGTGCCGTCCCGCATTGCGTCGCGGTACTGCATCGTCCATTCGATGCGGAGTTCCCAGACTGTCTCGAGTTCACGTCGCTCGAACTTGTGAACCCCTATCTGGTGGCCAACCCCGTTTCTCAACCACACGTATGCAAATAAGGGACGGGTGCGAGCCCGTACCCTAACAAATCGCTTATATTGCGGGCTCCAATACATGGTTATCAATACTTCGAGCTAGAGCCTGATCCTGCTCGTGCGGGGCATGTACTACATGATATCTTCGTCATCGCTCCTTTTGCGCTTAGCTGTGCGAGTCTCTCCAAAGGATGGGTGCCCCGCATCCTGGAGTTCCGTGACACAAGGAGGAGGACGACCGGCTCGTGCATAAGCAATGGCTTCCTCCAAACGCAATGTGATGGCTCTTTGAGGGGTGTGTGCGCAGAACCTGCACCCGCATGTTCCAGAAACAGCACCACTCATCAGCCAAATGGCATGTGGCGCAAACTCCGCGGGAGATGCGTAGCGGCTCGTAGCACCTTAGAGTGAGGATCGTCAGCGAGCGCTTCCGTGCACTTGTAGATCCTCACCATATAAGAACAGTGTCTTACTGGCGCGAGAGTCGGAGGCAGATAGTATGCGCCTTGCGAGCACGTAAGCACGAGGGAAACCTTTGAGCGTCCACTGACGCTCAGAGCTTAAGCCTTCAGGGTCTATTAGCGATGCTGAATGGTGGTGGAAGGTAAATCCGACATGCCCGAGTTCGCTCGTGCAAAGAATGCACCGCCGATGAACCTTCCCAACTTCATGCGCCACGCTATATTGTCGGCATGGTCTATACCAAGGTATTCGTACCCTCGAGGAGGACGACACTTGAAAGACCCATCCGACATGTTGATGACTATGGCGTTGTTATCGACCGAGTAGTGCCGCGAAGTTGTGGAGTATGCGCCAGACGCGAAGTCACGAGTGAGAGGATGGGCATTGAAAGGGAAGATAAAGACCCTGTGTGCCGATCTAGCTAGTGAGGAGTCATATGCGGTTGGTGAAACCGCTGACACTATGTTGAGGGGCACGACCTGGCGTTCTTCGTCGACATGGGCATTATCTCCCTTCGGTAGACTGGAGATCGTCGGCGCTGTCGAGACTTCGGAATGCGTAGCAACAGGTGCCGTGCGACTCCCGTCATCTTCATTGTCGTCAGAGTCGGGGTACAGTAAAACGAGATCGTCCGAATCGCTGCTTGCGCATTCATCGTCTGCAGCGCCTTCTTGTCGCAAAGGTTCAGCAATCGAAGAATCGCTCAACAACGTAGCGCTGGGTGTAGTAGATGGAGTGATGACAACTGTCTCGATGAGAGACAAGGAAGCCTTGCAGCTATGGGCGACTGCGATTGCCTGCATGTTCGACTGATTGTGCACTATAGAGCCACTCGTGTGACGAGAGAAGTGCGGATGCAAATACGCAGATTTGTCCATGCTCAAGCGCTCAAGGGGTATCGGCGTCGAGATGATTGACCGCCGCGCGCCTCTCCTCGAATAGGTTTTGTACAGTCGACGGACAAAGAGAGCTACTGAACCCTGAAGAACTCCCCGATACGATGCACTGGGACCGAGATCATGATCAGACGCGTAGATCCAAGTACAGTACGCAGTACAAAGCAGAACCTTGGTGCTTTGTCTACCCATCATTGATGCAGCATACCCGTTGCGAAGTACGTAACGCCGGAAGGCATGCGTGTCCAGTATACACCGGCATGGTATGCATCGTCAGTCGCCCTAGAAGGTGCTGAGGCGTGCTGTGAGACAAGGACGGCCGTCGTTCGCGCGCGTGAAGAGCTGGGATGCGCAAATGGTATTGATGGTGGTTTGCTAAGAGCAACGCGTAGTCATCGGCAGGAGAAATCCGGCTTCGCCGCGCTACTCGGCCCGCTACCCAAACTTTATCGGCCTGACGTCTGCGGTCATGATCATTCTGCCGGCACTCGAGTCCATTGCTAGCTGGCGCTGTCCGTACAGAAAGAGCTGCGCCGGTCGAAGGATACTGGTCATACGGAGCAAATGAACGCTCAAGTTGGTCGAGGGAGGATTTAACAGGAACAGCGCTCATGAACAACGGCTCTTTCAGCAGCCCCGCATGTATGCCTGGCCGACTAGTTCTTTTCTTCCGTTTCCCTCTTCAGCCGCGTGATCCACGGTTTGTGTGGAGCATCGCTCTTGGCCAACCTGGTTTGGTAGGTGCGTGATGTCACGCGCCGTGCGCAGACTGGTCCAACAAACGACTGGCGACGCGTATGAAGTATCGCTCGCTCTCAAGGGACCGTGCCTCCGAGGCATAGAATCTCTTTCCGAGATGTTGTCGAGGCCGGTGGCGATGTGCGCGCGACGAAGGGGCCGAAGTTCGTGGACCGGCTACCGCTCGCCGGTTCGGGCAGTTGCGAAACGGCGTTCGCGCGCACAGCCTCTCGCCCAGATTACGAAGGCCGAGAGCTGGCTCCACATAGACAGGCCTATCGTTCCTTCAACAGGTTCATGCTTGGCTACGAGCACTGCCTGTATCTCCTTACCGCCGGCGAGAGCTTGTCTTCGATGGTTCGGACGACAATATGGATCACGTTGTGTACTCATGATCGAGGCGTCGATTAAGTCGACCATAACGCGTGAAGATAAGACGTGAACAGCTGCACGATTCGAACTAGGTAGTGATCGTGACTTCGAGCTTGCTAATCCAACCGTAGATGGCCCCCACCAGATCGCACACAGAGTCAGCATCGCGCCAGGCCAGGTCAGACTGGTCTCTGAGTCTCTCGAGATCCCTCTCATTCGACCACCACTCAGCTTCGAGCTCACACACATCCTTGCTCGCCATAGCAACACTAGTGTTCGCAGGAAGATGTCCAACAGGAAGATGTCCAACAGGATCGGTGTCGACAACCTTGGACGAGATATAGTCAGTCTCGATCGAGTCGATGGGATACACCGGTACAAGGTTGGGGGACATAGTAGTGCTTTTCAGCAGTCTTACACGCGAAGAGGACTAACGAGCGTGGTCGCCCTCTCGGGAACTCACCTTCGTGGGGTGTGAGACAAGCATCCTAGTCCTCGTATGACACTTCCTCGCTTCTTGTAGTCGTCGAGCCACAGCTTCCTGGCACCGCTCAAGCTCAGAGAGCTCTCTTGCAATAGGTTCAGCTATTGCGTACAAAGCCTAGGAGACTCGTCAACGTTGCAATAAGTACGCGATCGGTTATGACGGACATCTAGCGCGCTTCGAAGAAGAGCGCACTTGCATCTCAGGCCATTGATGTCACCAGATAGCCACAGTTCCATCGAGTTGTCCCACTAAACTTGTGTTAGACGAATGAAGCGAGACCACACTATGAAGGGCTACTTACATAGTTGTTCACAAGTGTATGAAGATCGATGGATAGCCTCCGAACACCGTTATTCTCGACGCTAGTGTCACCGTCGTCACCACGTGCACTGACGCCGCCCCGCTCGGACATGCTACTGCGTATGCAGTGGGACTTGGTCAAAGGATGGAGCCACCGGAACGAGGCAAGATGAGGGCGAGAAAGAAGATCTATGGCGCAGTCCTGCCGATCTGGATGTCGGGCATACAAGCACTGGAAGGATCTTCGATCCTCGTTCATCGGTCACCGAGGCAACGATACAGCAGGGAGCTCACGGATACGGAGATGCCGAAAGGGCTTGCTTGCCATCGAAGATGGGATACCTAGACAGGCTAGTGGAGGTAAGCATCCAGGCCCAGGTTGCCAGTAGCTTCTCACGTGAAATGACAACGTTCACCGGAGTGCCTGGGCCGCGGCGTGGCTGATTATGACCGGCCTCCCTCTTCTCATGCCCAACCCTCACGTACTCGCGTTCTTACTTACATCGACCTGATCTGCTTTCACCGGCGCCTGTGACAACCTCGCTCGCTTCTGCATTGATCTTCGGCGTTCACGATGGAGTAGTAGTCACGCGCCACATCATACCTCGCAACATTCTCTCAGTTGTAAGAGGCTACAGTCTAACGCACGTCGTCCGGCGGGAACGGCATCAGTATAGTATCTGCTTGGTAAGTCTGCAAACGCGTAAGATGGAACGCAAATTCTCGCAACTAACCTATACTACCAGTAGAAACTTGCCGCCACAAAAGCTAGACCTGCTGTCGATACTGGCCACAAACGTCCGCGATTCCCTGGCTACCTGCCATTGTGGACTAGCCTCCGAAGTATTATACTCTCCAGTGGCCCCAGCATCCCGAGCATTCTATCTTCTATCCTGGACGCGGCGTACGAACCAGTCGGTCTTCATGGCGGAAAAGTCGCACGTCTACAGGCTTCAGTCGTATGCTCGCCTGCATCCGGTTCATCTGAACAAGCCATGCTTTGCCCGCGGATGCTCTACGATGTTTGCTGGTAGCGTCTACTTGCACAACAGAACTAGGTACTGGACGATAGGGCGGGGGAAATTAGGCCATCCCTGTGATGTCGCTATACTTGGCGATAAGACAGCCACCAGTATGTCTCTCCGGCCAATCCGTCTTAGACGACCTTAACCTTCGCACAGGCTCCTTACATGCTATCATATCCCGAGTGCGAGCACCGAGCGGTGGTGAACAAAGTGTTCTGAAGAACGTCTCTGCTAACTCCACCACCTGGGTGAGTCACTGACACTTCTTTGTGCATCTTAGTTGACACAGACACTAGGTTAACGGAGAAGAAGTGCCGTGCCAGTCGACGGTCGTTCTTCACGACGGGGACGTGATTTGGCTTGGATATGCTGATCGTCACGATGCCGCTGGTAGGCATATTCCCATCTGCCAGCCCACGGCTTTCAACAGCTATCTGACGCGTCCTTTCAGGCTTTGTCTTCCTCGACCTTTACATCAGACGACCTTTCCTTCGTTTGCACGGCTATGAAGTCATTCTGGGCTCGGGCGCTTTCTGGCAAGTGCATAAGGTGTATCAGCGTGCAAACCCATATCGCAAGTTCGCCGTGAAGGTTCTGGACTTCGGCAGACGGGGAAGCTGCACTCCACAGTCTCTCGCTGCGAAAGAAGTCGCTATTGTGAAACAACTAATCAACCACGGGCACCCAAATATTGTTCGTCTCTACAACGTTTATAACGATGACGACCATGCACAGATGTACAGTATGTACCCGCCCATCTCCAGCTAGTTCTACGGTCTGACAGAACGACTATGTATTCTTTCAGTGTACACGATGGAATTTGTTCCTCTAGGAGACCTGTATCATGTGCTTTTAAGTCGGGAAGGAACCCTCTGTGAGTCGCACTCGCACCATACACCTTGTCTATCCCTACGGTCGAGTGACGTTCGTATATGCAGCTCTCTTGGAAATACAGGTCATCATGTTGCAACTTCTTTCCGGCGTAGGATTCTTGCACGGGATGGGCATAATACACCGCGACGTCAAACTTCCGGTAAGCAAAGTTCGTCCAGCTTATCCGGCCGCACATCAACGTCTGCCGCCTGTAGAATCAACTTGTTCGACAAGACTTTCCATGGTGGACCGCTTTAGGCGATCTCGGCTCAGCAAAGCGACTTGCTAAGGGGCGCCTTCTGACTGACGAAGTGACTGTGAGTGGTAGCGCTTCGTGCTTGAGCATGAATCTGATCATGGCGAGCAGAGGTCGATGGTCGGCACGAGGCAGTACATAGCGCCCGAAGTTGTACTTGATCCCCTCGGCTACGGCTCAGAAGCCGACTCATACTCATGCGGGGTTGTGCTATTTGCAATGTGAGCCATCAGCATACGATGAACGCTGAGCGCTAATCAATCATCCCATAGGCTCCAAGGTGACCCTAGTGTCCCTATCTACCAATTCGCACATGTACCCGACACTCTTAAAGAGTTTGTCGAGCATCGGGTCATTCAGTGGGACAACATCCATCACCGCCAGTTACAGCTCACGTCCGAAGGCCAACAAGGTATCGGCCTCCCTCGCTTTCACCGTAGCCCTACATCTTTACTCAACTCTCGCTTAGTGTTGGAGTTACTCCGAGGGCTCCTTCATGAGGATCCACGCAGGCGCTGGACCGTCAACTTCGCTCTTCAATCAAAATGGATACGCAAAGCGCCTATCATCGGCCCTCAGGACCTTCACAGCAAGCCCACGCGACCGGGTACGCCACCTCCGGTTGTAACGGGAGCGTCGCCGGCGCTTCCCGCCACGCGTGATCACGAGGTACCCCGTCCTATGGAAGTGCGTCCCGTCCGACCCAGACCGCGTAACGTCAATCGCCCACCCAATAACGCCCCTGCGCCGGAAGGATACCAACCTGTGCCATCTGCGCGGCCTCTGCTTCCAGAGTCGGCTATGAGGAATTCCCCTGGGGTGATCTCTGGTGTAGTAGACGAGCTTGCTCGCCTTCATCTTGAGAATGTAAAGCCCGATGCGGAGCCTGCATCGCAAGCCCTGACTGTCAATGCACAGCAGGCCCTGGCCGTCAATGTGCATCCCCCGAGGCTGCGTCCAGATGCACGGCAGGATATCAAAAGGGATCAGGCACCCCTGGCTCCTCGGAGATCACGTCGTTTGAAGGGAGAGGTGGCGCCAGAAGCTAATGAGAAGGGCGATGGGAAAGCACTCGCTCGTGTAGCGAAGCGACAGGGCGGTCGTTCGAAGGGGAAGAGCATAGGAAAATCCGAGGTAGAGTAGAAGAGCGAAGGCAATGGGAGGCCCAATACGAGCGCAATCTCTCAAAACTGTACATAGAGCTAGATCTCCCTTGATGATCATTTCCTGACCCATAATCTTGACATGGCTAAAATACTAGTAGTAATACGTAACAACAACCTTGTATAGCATGTCCGAAATCAGTTGGTGCCGGCTAGTACTATTGGCACCAGTCGTATACTCATCTTTCATCGCGTCGCGATAGGCCGGTTATTGAGCCAATTTGAGAACAAGATACAGTAAAAACCCCGAAATCACTGGAAATATGCGCCAGCGCAAATGATCTGGCGCGCTGCTTTGGCGCGCATCGCCTCGTGCCTACGTTCGGCGAGGCTTGGCAGCGTGCGCCTCCCGAATCTCGAGCCACCACGCGGACTCGTTTGGCGCGGAGGGGGGAGGCCACCGCCACGATATTGGGCGGATCGGGTGTCCACCCCCTGGCGCCGCTAGCAAGCATGCCGGCTAGGCATACTGCAGCGATACGGGGTACGAGCGCAGCTGTGCCGCTCGATGCAGAGGCCACTGGCACACTGTGTCGTGGGTCCTGACTTCGCGCGGCGTGCCACCTACGGCGCCATCAATTTCGACCTCGAGCGCGCCGACTCGAGTTCATATCAGTGGTCCGGCCGCCTTGCCAAGCGCGCCACAACGCCAGGATTTGTGCGCGTTTCCAGAGATTTTGGGTGTCCCCGGTCTCTGAACGGTAGACGCTAGGCAAATGTCGCGCATCACATTCACCTGGTCGCAGACCGGGCTTTCATTTCCGGCGCGTAAAGGGCAGTCCATTAACTTGTATGGTCATCTGTCATAGGAGGACATCACCAAAGCCGAACGCGAGCAAGATGCAAGCCTCGGACAACGGTCAACGACTCAAGCAAATCGTCGTCTTTCCTCAGAGCATGCACTCACCCTCATAACGGAACTGCCTGTTGACAGGCGATGTCACAAGCATTGATGCCACAATGTCGTGCCAAGCAAGGCCTGTTCGGGTCCTATGCGCTTTCAGCTGCAGTCACAACTCGACTTTGGCACATGTGCAAGCCGCGTTTGCTTACACCTGCCTCAGCAGCTGAGCAGATGGTTGTAAAAGTCATACAAGTTCGTAGTAATGATGAAGCGTGGAAATCGTGAGGATAAAGAGGGGCTGTCTCACAGGCGACAAG